AAGACTTTCCTTTTTGATAAATCCTATAGACGTCTGGGGACAGAGGAGACCAGTTTCTCAAGTTTAGAAATAGGAATGCTCTCCCATTCATGTCTAATACAGGCCTCTAACTGTTCAATCGTCTTGGGCCTTCTTTGTCGCACCTTCCTCTTTATGATGCGCCAAATGTTCTCTATAGGTGAAAGATCTGGACTGCAGGCTGGCCATTTCAGTACCCGGATCCTTCTCCTACGTAGCCATGATGTTGTGATTGCTGCAGAATGTGGTCTGGCATTATCGTGTTGAAAAATGCAGGGTCTTCCTTGAAAGAGATGACGTCTAGATGGGAGCATATGTTGTTCTAGAACCTGAACATAGTTCTCTGCATTAATGGTGCCTTTCCAGACATGCAAGCTGCCCATGCCACAAGCACTCATGCAACCCCATACCATCAGTGATGCAGGCTTCTGAATGGAGCGTTGATAACAACTTGGGCTATCCTTGTCCTCTCTGGTCTGGATGACATGGCGTCCCAGTGTTCCATAAAGAACTTCAAATCGTGACTCATCTGACCACAGAACAGTCTTCCATTTTGCCACACTCCATTTTAAATGACCCCTGGCCCAGTGCAAACGTCTGAGCTTGTGGAGCTTGCTTAGAAATGGCTTCCTCTTTGCACTGTAGAGTTTCAGCTGGCAACAGCAGATGGCACGGTGGATTGTGTTCACTGACAATGCTTTCTGGAAGTATTCCTGAGCCCATTCTGTTATTTCCTTGACAGTGGCATTCCTGTTTGAGGTGCAGTGACATTTAAGGGCCCGGAGATCACGAGCATCCAGTAGAGTTTTACAGCCTTGACCCTTACGCACAGCGATTGTTCCAGATTCTCTGAATCTTTTGATGATGTTATGCACGGTTGATGACGATAACTTAAAAGTCTTTGCTATTTTATGCTGGGTAACACCATTCTGGTATTGCTGCACTATCTTTCTGCGCAACAATGGTGGAATTGGTGATCCTCTTACCATCTTGGCTTCTGAGAGACACTGACACTCTGAGAAGCTCTTTTTATATCCAATCATGTTGTCAATTGACCTAATTAGTGTTAATTGGTCTTCCAGCTGTTCATTATATGCTCAATTTCCTTTTTCCAGCCACTTATTGCTACTTGTCCCAACTTTTTTTGGATTTGTTGACACTGTGAAATTTTGAATCAACATATTTTTCCTTTAAAATGTTACATTTACTCAGATTAAACTTTTGATCTGTCATCTATGTTATATTACAAATAAAATATTGACATTTGCCATCTCTACATCATTGCATTCAGTTTTTATTCACAGTGTCCCAACTTTTTTGGAATCCGGTTTGTGTGTATATATATATATATATATATATATACATACATATACATATACACATATATGAATGTTTCTGTTTAGTGCCCTGAGACAACTTCTATTGTGACTTGGTGCTATATAAATAAACTGAATTGAATAGAATTGAATTAATCGTTGATATTTTACCTGAAGGGTAAATCACTCAGTGTTATCAGTTTGGAACATCTGTCCCCTCAGAGCAACATCTGCTGAAGGTAAGATACTGCTTACAGAAAACAACTCCACATTATACCACTTCAAATAATATTGCACAATCAGTTAGCACTTAAAGTTTATACTGAGAGTGAATCTCAGCTACTACAACATGAAACTTAGATAAAAATATGTCAAACTGAGTTTATGTTAATGTTGCATTGGCTCAGGCTCATTAGAAGCCATCCTTAATTAGAGTAACTCCAATTGTTAATAAGTTATAGATATACAATGATAGATTATTCTCTGTTTATTTAAAAAATGTTAACCAAAGCACAAGATGTTTTGCTAATAGACAAAAAGGGTTGTCTATACCAATAAGGTCATAAGCGGAGCTGTTGAACAACACGTGCTTACAGTAAGGGTTGGGGATCACTCTCAGCTACTACAACAAGAGGTTTAAGCTCAATGTCTGTAAGATTGACTGAGTTATTTTGTGTTTATTAAAGTGTGACAATATTTATTTTGTTCAAAGGATTTTAATATCTGTGGCGGCCCTCTTACAATGGATTAACTCCATATGTTAATAAGTTGTAGACACATCAATGATTAAGTTTTGACAATTTCATCAAAATACACTCTTTGGTTCATGAGATACAGTGGTGCTTGAAAGTTTATAAACCATAGAATGTTCTATATTTCTACATAAATATGACCTAAAACATCATCAGGTTTTCACACAAGTCGTAAAAGTAGATAAAGAGAACCCAGTTCAACAGATGGGACAAAAATATTATACTTGGTCATGTATTTGTTGAGGAAAATGATCCAATATTACATATTTGTGAGTGGTAAAAGTATGTGAACTTTTGCTTTTAGTATCTGGCAGACTTTGATAGATCCTGTTGTTTAAATCAAACAGGGTGTCCACTCACACCTGATCATCATCCATTGATTGAAAACACCTGACTCTAATTTCACCTTCAAATTCAAATTAATCCTAGAGGTTCACATACTTTTACCACCCACAAATATGTAATATTGGATCATTTTCCACAATAAATAAATGACCAAGTATAATATTTTTTTTGTCTCGTTTATTTAGCTGGGTTCTCTGTATCTACTTTTAAGACTTGAGTGAAAATTTGATGATGTTTTAGGTCGTATTAATGCAGAAATATAGAACATTATAAAGGATTCACAAGTTTTAAACAAAGATCTAGCTCAGGGCTATTCAACTGGCGGCACATTTATTATTAGCAAAAGAAAAATATATATATTTTGGGTTCTGGGTTTGGGCTCTGTTTATTGCATTTATGATTCAATGCAACAAAATAAGCACATTTAAAATTGTAATTGGTTTATTTACATAATGACTTTAATCGCTGGATGCCCGGGCCCTGAGCTGTTGGCTTTCAGAAACTGTGGCCCCCTGAGCAGTTTAGTTGAATAGCTCTGGTCCAGCTCAATCATCTGGCGTTCAAAGCATCAGTTGTGGACCACTCTCAGCTACTACCACACCACATTCTTCTCTCACATTAAACTGCCTGGGTCGTAGTCATTTTTGTGTTGACAAAGGTCATTTTGTATCAGGCTGGCTCCAAAAGTTAATCAGTTTGGGATCCAATGATTACTTTTTATAAACTTCACTCAAATCCGCACTCATTCATAAGATATTTTGCTAACATAAACATTACATCATTGCCCATCTTTGTCTTTTTGGCCAAAAATGGGCAGTGCTCACGTAATACTCTTTAAATAGCCAACCTGAGGGTTTGGCCCCTGTTATCTGCGTGTCTCCAACCCAGACATGAAACACCCAAACACAAATACACTCGGATAATTATAGAGCGCAGCCGCTGGGAGCCAAGCATGTGTTCAGCTTATTGTTTCACAAAGATTTATGGGCTGTCAGATCACAACAGGATGTAATAAAAGCGTCATTTTAGGAACTACAACGCTTGAGAAACAAATTGTACATGATTGAAACATTCCCCCTCTCTGAAAAGAGATTTATTTTCCACCGATAGGGGGCAGCATTGTCTGAATAAATGAAACAAAGTAAGGCGCACATGCACACAAAGGGGGCACAGACATGGACATGATCAATTATGTGTCAGGCATTTGGTCCTGAATGAATGAGTGAATGAGTGAATGGCTCAGTGACTACAGGCTACCCACCGCCCATTGTCCAGCAACACTGGAGACAGAGTTCTCATGCAGTTCATTATCCCGCAGGAGGGCAAACAGAAAGAGATCCAAAGAGGCCATTAATCATCATTCCCTTCAGAGATAGAGGAGCAATCAGAAGAGCAGATACTGTAATCCCATGGAGTAAAGATCTGTCACACGCTTTCACAACGTAAAGAGAGGAAATAAAGGCCGTGCATTCCTTGAAGGCATTGCCTTTCATAGCAGACGTGTAGACGGAGATCTTTTTATTTATAGTGACTCTCAGCTACAACCACATCAAGTCTGCAAGCGCTCTGTGTTGTTAGTCTGCTAATGTTGGACTGAAGACCAGGGTGTCCACCGCCTCTCACACAGTGACTGCATGGGCACCAGTGACCCTGCAACCCAGAAAGGAAGAAGCGGGTCAAGATAGTGAATGGCTTTGGCAGCCATCTTGAAATGGACTGTGTCCAACAAATTAACTTTCTGGGAATTTTATCAGTAACTGTCCAATGGTTAACAGGATATTTTGCTAACAGACACAATTTACCCTAAATGAATACATTTAAAACAGAAGTCATGCACAATCTGATAGAGCTCAGATTAGTGCTTAGGATCACTCTCAGCTACTACCACACCAGATTTTGTGCGGATAATCTGCAAAAGCTGCCAGTTAGAGACATCTTTGCATTTTCATGGTTCAGTTGGCTGTGACGGCCATCTTGGATTGAGTTTAATTCAAAGGTTAATCAGTTGTGGGTGTACACCCATTGTTCGTCTTAGTTTTCATTATTATCCATCGTGGTTCATGAGATATTTTACTAACAAACACACTGACAGACTCAAAAACTGCTCTGTCTTCGCCTTTCGGCAGCAAGCGATAATGATCACGGTTTAAGGAGTTTTATGGTATAAAATAAAAAGTGTGTGACTGCCGGATGTTTACGACTGGGGTAATTAGTTTACAGTTTTGGTTAAATGGGACAAAGTTTTTTCTACTGTAAGCACTTTACTTGCAGCACAACTATCAGTTTCGTTTGTTACTTTAATTATGACGAATAACTCCAAAGTCCATTTCACTTTGGTTCGATGGCTCGGGTCGACATGGTGGGGGGGTTGAAGGCGTGGATCCAATAACTACTCCCTCACTCCCACCTTTTCCTCTCCTCCACGTCCCCATAAATGCCTCGGCTTCCTGCTTCCAACTTCGGACAGAGGCCGAGCTCCGTGATTGGCTGCGACGCGCGCGCTGTGGGCGTACCTTCTTCCCGCCCCGCCCCTTCCCCCAGCTCGCTCTCTCCTCCCTCGTCTCGGGTTACAGTCGAGCTCGAGCTGGTGCACACACGCGCGCACACTCGCCAAGGAGGAGCGGCAGCAGCTAACTGTGCTTTAAAAAAAAAAAAAATTAAACAAACAAAAAAACAAAACAGTTTTTTTGTTTGTTTTTTTATAAAGAAAGAAAGCCGGCGTGAAAAATGTCGCAGAGCTGAATGAGCGCTAAGCTCGAGCTTCGACATTTTGTTTTTAACTTTTTTTTTATTTATTTTGTGGGACGAAATTTACGCTGTGGCATGCGCGAGGTGGACTAGCCAAGAGAGAGAGAGAGGCAACACGCTGAGAGCCGGGAGGGATATTTACAACAGAAACTGTGCCTTTATTCAGAAGAAGAAGAAGAAGAAGAATAGCAAGAAGAAGAAGAGGAGTGAAAAATAAGACTGGAATGAAGAGCTCGGGGCTCCGCGGCGGAGTGAACTGATGGATGAACGTGGTCATCTGTAGGCGACAGGTACCAGGAGCTGCAGGTCACTTCCCCCCCGCACAGACCGCTGAAGGACAGAAGAAGAAGCGGGACAGATGTATCTTATACCGAGCTCTCATGCTCCCGACTGATCCGAGCTCAGCTTTCCACCGGCCGAAGTGCAGATAAAGAGCCCGCTCCTCTCCCCCCCAGCCCCGGACTCTCTCTCATCATGGCGGGCCCGTCCTGTTGGAAGCATTACCTCTGGATGTGTATTTTAATATGCAGGTCTGCGCTGCTCTCAGCCAGGTCTCTGGAGACCATCATCTGGAGCTCGCAGAACCCCAAGTAAGTGTGACTGAACAAACATTCAAAACTAAAAAAAAAAAGGATTTCCCTAAAAAAAAGCGCACTTTAATCACAGTAATGATAATGAATGGTTAATTATAGTCATTTATTACACGCACCTTTTTTGTTGTTTTCAAGTTTCTGAGAGTTTATCCGTGTTTCCTGCACAAGTGTGTAATTAGTGTTACTGGCTGCAGGCTAGAAGTTAACTAAAATATGTTGTACCATTAAGGTCACACCGCTGCACCTCAGCTGTTTGCCCCCATTGTCTGTTAGCAAAATATCACGAAGCGCAGGGTTGATTTTAATGAACCTTAAAGTAATGCATCATTGGATGAAGAAGTAGTGTCTTTATCATGGTTCGCGTCAGGTGGAACTAAATTGTGTGCACAGTGACATCAAACCGATACGCCGAACAACAGCAGCACGAACATGAGTCTGTGTGAGGAGATGAGTACCACTGAACACAGCGTCGTGAAATAATCAGCAGCAGGAGATCAGCAGCATGGATAATCAGCAGCACATACCACCAATCAAAGTGGCATTACAGTGATTTTTGAACATCTGCAGCTGATTTCTAATTGGAGTTCAAAATTGCAATTGTAGCTATCAGCCCTTTATGTCTATAATTCAGTTAACTGAGCTAAAATCTGCTGTAGTAGTCGCTGAGAGTCATTCTCAATATGTACTGCAGGCGCTGCTCATGGTGTGACATCTTTGCTTACAACGTTGCCAGTAACGATGGTCGTCACCCCTACTTGTCTGTTGGCAAATATCTTGAAACACTAGGTAGATTTTAGTGAAACTCTCCGTATGGGCCTATAAAAGTTAAGTCTGGTCCTCTGGACGGGTTAAAAAAAACAAAGCATGCATCAGGATATTCTCTGTATGGGCATCTTCAAACTGTTAAGAGTTAACCCTGTTCAAGATGGCCGTAACGACCAAGGGAAAGACTGTGCAGATGTGGCGCTCAAATCTGGCGTGGCGATAACTGATTCATCTCCAGCACATACTCGGAGAGCCATCTGATCGAGCAAGACCTTGCAACACCATGTGATGATTCTGCCTGATGTTATTTTCAAGAGTTGACCACAACCGCTGCGCCCGAGCACGAGATGATGGTGGAAACTCTGGCGTGAAGGGAGGCGGGCGATATGCATCCCTGTCAGGAATGCTAGGCCTTTTATCAAGTTTGGATTTGCCCACTAAAAAGACGAGATGCTTGAAATGCCTGAATAAACAATTGTTTCTAATCTGCTCTGAGAGCTTAAACTTTTTTTTGTTGCTCATGAGAACAAGTTTTATCATTCGTTCGTATCATTTCCACTGAAACGAACGTCTGATAGCAGATTATTCTCATACAGATTATTCTCATACAGATTATTCTCATACAGATTATTCTCTGGGAACATGTAACACGTGACTCCTGCGTTTTTATACAGTGCTGAAAAGTGCTCAGCAGGCTGGAGCTGACCTTCAGCGACGGCACAGGGAGCGAGACCAGCTTCCAACTATAACTTAGTCATTCAAGTGAGTTGGTGATTTATCCCCCAAATGTCAGATGTCATAGGGGCTCGTTGTGCAGTCAGCGAGTGTGAATATTGCTGCAATGTTCATTGGAGTGTGTGCATGTGTGTGTATGTGGGGGGGGCCTTGGCTCTAATAATGGCAAGACTACGGCCCATCAGCTTTTATTTGACTGTGGCCACAGAGGTATTGGGACGTTCAGCACCATCAACAATATATATATATAATTATTTTTTTCCTAAAATACCATTGATTCGTTCAAAACGAGGGCTAAAAGGAGAGGAGATGCTTATTGATTGATGATGTCACCTGGAGGGAATGTCTCAGAAGGTGGTTTCAAGAGGATTTGAATATCACTTCTCCATCTGTTCTCCCCCACTTCTCCCTTTTTCCCTCCCTCTCTCTCTCCTTGTAAAAATCCCCCAAGCCGGCTGAATATTTCATAAAGTTCACCGTGGAACAATAATGCACTCTGCAAAGTGTTCTCTCGAGCTAATTATCCTGCTGCTCTGCGCTCGGAAAACAAAAGACAATTATCTTGCAGTGTGTGGAGTACTTTAGAACAACCGCTACGACAAAAAAAGAAGTGGCACACTTGCTTTTTGTTGTTGTTGTTTCCCCACTGAAATGTATCAATCAACAGCAGAAAGTGAACGGTAATAATAAAAAAATAAATAAAAAAGGGGGGATAGTTGATCAGCATCACCGTTTGCTGTTTTAAGCTCTCGGTCCGGGCGGCTCATATTGTTCCACGGAGATGAACGGAAAAGGAGACGCTTACAGAAACGCACTATCTCGGTGACTTATCGAGATTTACGACGTCTTACTTCCTGTTCCTGCTTTGGGGAGCTCTTCTGCCTCTTACTAATAAATTAATCTGGCCCTCTGCATGCACACACAAAATCTAACAATACCTGCTCCTCCCTGCAGACCCTGAGTTATGAGGCAAAGCATAGGAAACCAGCAGGATTGGGCCACTGTGGTGCGTGCGTATGATATATATATATTTTATTTTCTTAACGGGCAGGAGCCATTTATGGATTTCCACGTGAGGATGCGATCACTCCAGCACCAGCAGTATCAATGACGTTGGCTTACTTAATTGATTTCCTCCCTGCGTGCTTGAACAGCCAACATACATCAAGACTAGCGCCGACGTGAAAGAGAAATAATAATGGGAAGAATGGTTCTTAAGGTGTCGTCTGGCTGTGGAGTGTGTCAGACATTTTTGATGTTTAATTTGACACGCTGAAGGAGCGGCTGTTCGAGGTGATGGCGGCGGGAGAAGAAGAAGAAGCTGAGTGAAAATGACTTTATGAGTAATCACGTCCCGTGGAGCAGCACGCAAACGTGCTCGCCGTGTCCTCGAACGCCGCAGCCATGCCGGTTTAATGATCATCTGACAAGGTTTGGCCCGTGAGCAGGCTTCTGCGCGTCCTCTAACCCTCCTCGGCTAATATTGACCTCCTGAAGCCGCTGCTGCCTCGGCCTGTTTGCAGCAGGTCGGAAGACAAACACGGCGATGGAAAACACACACCTCTGCAAGGTTTTCCTGCAAAGTTACAGCCCAGCAGGGGCCACGGGTCTGCTGCACTGTGGACCCCCACGTTTTGCCCAGGCTTGGAAACAGTTTGCACACTTTTATATATATATTTTTTGCATTGTGTTGGTTTATGATTCCCACAAAATACGTTTCGAAACGGAGTCGTTCGGTGTTGATTACAGCCTGCTGAAAGCCTCTGCTGTGGCTTTCTGCTTCTTTGACCTCATCTGTTTGCCTCGCTCGCTCCCAGTTTATATCATGCTCCGGCGGCTTTGAGATTAAGCCGAACTTGATGAGTGCGCTGATATTTATCAAGCATATTTACTTTTCTTTTTAACCAGACCGGAAAAAAACAAAAGCGGTGTCGTTTTTTTTGTTTTTTTTGTTTTTTTCAACGCAGCTGTGCGACGACGTCGCTGCATTAGACAAACTTTAGTTTGGCTCGTTGCTTTAAGTTCAACCAAGTTGGAGAATGGAGCATTTTTGGATTATGTTTGTTTAAAAAAAAAAAAAAAGCTTTTATTCTAAATTGTTTGTCATTTTTGACACCTTTGCGACCCAAATCGGTGAGATTCAAACAAACGAGGCTTTCAGCAGCAGGTTTAGGGTAAAACCAACAAAACAAACTGCTGCATAGCTCCAGACCGACTCAACCTGTTGAGCGAGAGCCGGATGAAACGGGACGAGATGAAAAACTGGATTTGGTGGACGCAGCCCTCTTCTCCTGCTTGCCCCACTTTAATGCTACAAGTACCTTCCAGTGTCCCCCCCCCCCTCTTTTGCCCCCTTTAGACTGTGATCGTGTTTCCATCTGATAGAGATCTCATTACACACAGAGAGGACTTGGAGGCTGAGCCCCACTCGGAGACGCTCCTGACCAATAAGAAGTCCGTCTGCAGAGCAACTGGCCCTGGGCTGTAAAAGCAGCCTGTGTCTGGCTCTGAGGACAGCTGCCTTCATGTGTGTGTGCTTCTGTGCCCACATGACTGTTGTTTCAGCGGTGTGCAATGACAGATTCTTCATTTGGTTATCTACATGAAGCACCTGGCCTCTGAAAGGCAGTGTGTGTGTGTGTGGACGGGGCAAAATCAGGTTATTTCAGGGGGAAAATTAAGCATTTTCATTCATCGTGGTTTTTTTTTTTTACCTGCTGATAAACTGGTGGTTTTGGCTGCTTCGTCTCAGAAAACTGATCATTCTGAGTTTTTATTTTGTGTGTTAGTCGATGCGTTAATTTAGTGGTGAAGCAAAGCTGCATTCAGACAAGTGGCATTTACAGTTGATTTTGGGGATTTTCTTTTTCTTTTTCATGCCTGTGTGAGTTTTCAACCGGTTCTTGTGACTCACAGCGTCTCCGGTTGTTGGTATTCTTTCAGGACAGCAGTTGTAATGATTCACATGGAAAAATGGGCGAGGGCTGTCAGGAGCAGTCAGTAGGTTTCACAATGACAATCCACTAAAACGATCAAATTAAATACAGTATCTGTGAAGAACAGGGATGGGCTTTATTTTTGACTGGGCTGTGGTCGTTGGGGATTAGTTGGAGGCAGAAAATTGGAAGAAAATGTGCAAATTTTCACTTGGGATCATACGAAATTAGAGCTGATGAAGTAACATGTTTTTGTTTCTACTTTAATAAACTATAAAAGCTTTTTAAAAAAAGTGTAAATCTGACTTTTTTTCACCACAAAATATTTGATGCATATTTTATTTGGCTAATTCAAACGATTCACTGTGTCAGGTTACAAATCCATATAAATACAAATAAAAAAAATAAAAAAAAACAGGTGGTAATTTTAAAAAGACAACCAGCTTTTGCACTCTAGACAGAAATTAAATCGAGAGGAGAGGAAGGGATGCACCGAACCACTTTTTCCACTTCCGATACCGATACCAGGTCCAGCCTACATATTGATTCGATACCGATTCG